GCTATTAAGTTAGATTAAAAAAAACTTTAATAGTATTAAAATTTTACAAAAAAAACTTTTATTAGTATATAGTAGATAGTTTTATAAATAAAATAGTGAGTTATAAGTAATTTTTTTGTTTGTTTTAATTTTTTGTATTTCTTTTGTATTATATCTAATCTTAAAATTTAATTAGCTAGTAAAATTTTTTAAGTTGATAATACTAGAACTAGAGTTTGAAATATAAAACATAGATATATCTTCTAATTATATATAGCAACTACATAAAATTTGCAGTCTCATAATAATCTATAATAAAATTTTATTAGCCAAGGCAACCTGCAGAACATCAATATGTTTTTTGATTAAAAAATTAAATTTTGATATTAGGGTAAAATAAGCATTAAAAATATAGTAAAAAGAATTGAGTATATAGCAAAATTTTACAAGAAATTTTTTTTGCTAAGATACCAAAAGTAATTTTATAATTGAAATTTTGAGTTATAAGTGATTTTTTAAAAAAGCTAATAGTTTGTTTTGTTTTTATATTACACCTGATCCTGTGTTATGATTGGTTTAAAATCATATATCTACAGATATTTTATATAGTTGCTATGTATAATTGCTATTTAGAGTACACTAAAAGTTTCAGGTTAGGGTGTTTAGAATTATACGAAAGTAAAGTTTCAGGTTAGGGTGTTTAGAATTATACGAAAGTATAAGATACATATAATTTACCAAATTTTCACATCTTGGATGCTTCATATAATCGAGCAAAAAGGATATCTGTGTCATATGTGTGAAGTATAATTGATAGATAAGTGATTTAACGAAGATAATAAACAAACTTAAATCAATTCCAAAAGATTATGTGAGTTACTAAATTGCATAATCAAGAAAATTTATATATAAAATTGCATAATTCGTATCCATCACATAATTGACCTTGTCACATCACATAATTTACCCTATCACATTGCATAATTCTAAACACTCTAGTCCAGGTATGCACCAATCATGTGGCATACAAGATCCAAAATAATTGGCTAAAGTCATTAATTCTATCAGTATTTTATTATACAGTATATATGTATATTATGTATATATATATATCAAATATATGTATACATGGGTGCCTAAATTATTTTTGAAAAATCGTATTTTCGGCAAATATTTCGGCATTGCTAAATTTTTTATATGAAGCCTTCGAAATAACTATATTATATGATGTATTTTGATGAAAAGAGTTCAAAAAATTTCGGCAATAATTTCGGCAAATATGAAAATTAATTTCGGCACTATATAAGACTAATTTCAGCTGCCTAAATGCCGTAATTACCTTTTTATTAAGATGGGCAATTTAGGCACCCATGTATAAATATATGTAATTTTTATTATAAATTTTATTAATAATAAATAAGTTAATATTAATTTTTTTAAAAAAATTAGTATGTATTTAAACTATCTATAAAGCCCACATTTTAGCAATGTGGTCATCTCAGAAACGTAACCAAGAATAGTCCTTACTTAACCAACACATTGACTGAAGATCAACATACCATATTGTCGCGAAATAACGCGCAGGGGTGTTATTTAGAATAATGACCCGAATTAAGCTTAATTTATGCCAAAATTTGTCATTTCACCCCTGCGCGTTATTTCGCGACAATACGGGTAATTTATAATTTTTGTAATTTACAATATATTCACAAAATATACTTATCAAACATAAACCTATTAAAAATGAATCATGAAAATCCTTGTTTTCTGTAACTATACTATTTAACCGTATACTATATAATTAAGTTGGTGGCTAAAGATATTAATTGCACGATTGGAAAGTGAAAATTTAATCGATGTTCAAACAATTGATTTGATTACACATGATCCAAATAGGTGCATGCCTCAACCCGAGGCATGCCGATTTTTTTACCCGTGCCTCGAACCCTAGCTAGGACAGTTTTAGAAATCACGCCGATACAATTTGACGCTAATGGTGCAGAGATTCAAGAAATCACATTCCAGATTTAACCAAACTGATGAGTCACTTTTAGATGTTCAAGAACCTGACCTTGAGGGAAAATGTCTGCGCTGTGAGAGTGAGAACTCTGACGAAAATTGGTGCGGTTCATGCACAAAAGATATTGGTATTTCACAATTACCGGATGATCTATTTGGTCACTTAATTCGTCCAAAAAATATGAAAGATAAATCAGAAAAGCTTAAAGATGATGAAGTAGAAAATAATCTTTTTAATATAGTTACATTATCATGGCCACTGTCTCGCGGAGTTAAATCATTTATTGAATATATTCCTAAAGAAAGATTTCAAAATATAAAGCCTAAATATGTGGTATTATATACCTGCAGAATGGATAGTTGGAGAAATCGAAAGTATAGACTTTATTAAATCAAGTATTAAAAGAAAAGACCCACAACTTGTTGCACTAAAGACCGTGCCATGTGTTGGGTTTTATGAAGTAAGCATAAATTTCTATGAATAATTATTTTAGCATATAGATTGTTATTATTAAAATATCTTTATAAATTTTGACAAGGCTCTCCGATTATTTGTGAGCAATGTATATAATGCTGATGCAAGAACCTACAGATATTCGAATTTTAAATCTTTAAAAAGTTCATGAAATTATATGAGGAGGATGCAATTACTCAAGATTATTGGGAACTTCCTTGATATAAAAGGCTTACACTTTTATTTAGTTTCAGTGCGCAACTTGTACAGTAATTATTCACAGCAATGGATCGTGATAGTCATAGTCTTTTTATTGCCGACCTTGGATTATTATATTTTATACTGGAAAACAAGGAGATAGACAAGAAACAAGAAGTTCAAGGAACAGTATACGGTATTTTACCTTATGTAGTGCCAGAGAAGTATTAAAAGGAGAACGACTTACACCCGCAGCAGATATTTATAATTTTGCAATGATAATGCATGAAATGGTAACAGACCGCGACCGTTTTGGGATAGTTCCCACGATCAATATTTCGCCTTAGACATTTGTTAGGATTGCGTATGTATTAATCTTCTACTAAATGCTTTTGCTACATTATTAAGTTTCTTTAATATTATAATTAGAGCCGGGGATTCCAAAACACACACCAACTGCATATACTGAGTTAATTACTCGATGCTGAGATTCAAATCCAGATAAACGATTAAAGGTTTATGAAGTTTGTACAAATATTGGTCGATTAACAGATATGGCATAATCGCAGTCTTTTTGTAGGTAAAAAAGGTGAATTTAAAATTCAAAGTGCGGATAAACTTTTAAAATATTTCATTAAACTCGAAATAGTCGAAAAATTCGATGAATTTTTAAAAGTTGACTGTTTTAGAATAATAGACCACCTCCGGAAAAAACGCCTGAAAAGTCTTTCTAATCAAACATTTAATCATTTTGCTTTTATTACACAAAATTAAAATTCTGATCTTCTCTTTCAATCAATACTTAACTTTATTCACTGTACACAACTTTTTTAATTAAAATATCAATATATACCGTAAAATCTCGAAATAGCGGGCATCTGTGCGCTATTTTGACTACCTGCGCGCTATTTTGAGTACCCCATGGACGTTATTTCGAATATATAGGCTGATTTTCTGAATAGGGTGTTAAATAGCCCACAAAGGACTTGTTCGGACTGGGTCTGGGACCGAACGTTTTAGGGCAGTCTGAAACTAGTCCAGATAAAATTTAATAAAAGTGAATAATGGATGCTTTTGGCATTTCGCTTTCAAAATTATCTATAATGTATGTTAAACTGCAAAGTTAAACCCGGACTTTTTAGAACCGGAGCTGGGTCAGACCGAACGGACTCTTTAACATCCCTATTTTTGAACCTGGCTCTTTTCAAATTACATAATAATGGGGTGCGCGTTATTTTGTGACGCGCATGGGAGTTATTTTGAATCTACATATGCTATTTTTAGGGGCACGATTTTCCCATGCCCGCTATTTCAAGATTTTACGGTAATAGTATTTTAATTTGAACGACTATCGCCCGAGTTTATTCGTGATCCAGATCCATACAAGTATTACTTTCTCCTTCCGAGTCTTGGAAATTCTATTTATACAAGAAGTTATTGGTGGTTTTTTTTTTACTTTAAATAATGATAATTAAAATAACAAATGGTTTTCAATTTTTTTTGTCTAATTTTAAAAATGTTGGCATTAAAACATTCCACGGCTCTTAACCGGTAAACATTTCTGACGAGTGAAAATATAAAAAAGTTTTTCCATTGGATATAGGGCCATGACCACTAGGGGATAACTTCAAAAATAAGGGGGTGTTTAAAAGAAACAAGAAGGTCAAGGAACAGTA